AGTTAGGCAGCGCCACTTCCCTCAGATGCTCGTCCACGAGCCTGGCGGGCTTTTTGCCCAGCCGCTCACCCTCGTAGCTCTCGAGAAGCTTTATGAGCGTCTCCGCGTGCCTGGCAAGAGAGCCAAACAGGACCGGCCTCAGGTCGAGGATCACGTGCGTCTTGCGAGCATTGAATCCTGGCCGAGCAATGCGAGATCTCGCTGACCCACGCAGCGGGGGTTTTCTGGCTGGCTATTCTCAGCCATCTCGGAAAACTGCTGGAAGTGGTTCTGAGTCAGGCCTGACACCACCTTGGATTTCGCCAGCTCGTGGAGTAAAGTGGCTGGTTGCAGGATCCTTGCGGGTGGGCTTGTCGAGGGTGATGGTCGCGCTGCCAGCCTTGAAGAGAAGCAAGAAGGGCTTTTGCGATGACCCCGTCTGCCGGGAGTTTGAAGACGATGGCCGTCTGGGTCTGTAGGATGTTCAGCTGGTCCTCGTGCGCGGGAAAGGCTTGAGTGAGTTCTACGTTCGATGAGGGCGCCATCCGCCGAGCACTGATAGCGCCCATAGCTGCGTCCGGCTGATCCGACCTTGGTGCTCTCGCCCGACGGCGTTTGGTATCCGGGCTGCGAGCAGACATGGCTAACGAGGAAGCCTGCATGCGCCTATTGCGCGTTTGGCCTTGACGTGGGGCGGGCAGCCTACGTGTAGCGGCTTTGGGCCTTCCCACGCACAGGCATCTTACATGCTTCCGACACGTGCTAGCTTGGCAGGCCAGATCGGCCCAGGCGCTAATACAGCTTTGCAAAGAACATGAATCCCTGACTGGTAGCAGGAGAGGCGAGAAGCCTGGTTTTGCTCCTTCAATTAGGCCTCCAACACGAGCCTGCCAAGGGGTCAGCTGAAGAGGGCCTTGTTCGGGGGTGAAAGAGGAGTAGAACTCTGCCGCGTCGTGCTGCCTGCCGTCAAATCTCCACCCCTGTGCCTTTGAACGCAGCGCAAATGAGGTACACAGGTTCAGCGGCCTCTGACTGTTAGAAGTCCTCATTTCCTCAAAAATCGTCTGCAAACCCGTTTCTGGGATTTCCCGACAACAGTGAAATGTGAGGACAGAGTTAATGTAGCACGAGTTGGAGGTATTGATGGGGATACGAAGTTCCGAGGGCGGTGCCGAGGGAGGAGAGCTCGGGCCTGAGCTTCTGAAGGCCTGCTGCAGAGAAATTTGTTGCGGCTGCTCCCGCGCCCTCTCCGAGGCTCCGACCAGTCGACTGGCGTGCTATTCTAGAGCTATCTGGAACATTACAGCGCATTGAAAGCAGTGCTTATTACGGTTGTACACAATAAGCCTGCAAAAGGGACACTTAAGGCCTTTAGGAGTATGGGTGGCAAAGCTGCTGCAGGTTTTGTTAACCACCTCACGCAGGGACCCCCACTTTTCTGTGTGAACATTTCTGATGTGGGACTTCAGTTTTGTATAATCCGGGGTCCAGAACCCGCATTGCAAGCGTTGCAAATTCAGCTCCTGAGCATCCTGCGTCGAAGCCACCTTGAGCAGCTGAAACCTTGCTGAGCTCGCCACGGATTGCTTGATTCGCTCCAGAGGGGCTGCTAGCTTGACTTCCTGGTCCCCCCCGTCTATTTCCTCCAGTTTCTCAGACAGGGACAAGTTCCCGAAAGCAGGTGTGACGTGAGACCGGGCCAGTGCTTAAAAGAGGCCTGGCATGCCCGACAGTTAGGCACACCATCAATCGCGTGTTTCAGGCGATCGAAACTCCTTGGAACAAAACGCCTCACAGTGTCAGGGTGCACCTTAGCTGTGTGAAGCCTTAGCCCTAGTTCCGAGGCAAAGGTTTTGTCACAATGAGCGCAGGGGATTTCGGGGACATCAGTCCCAGCATCCGGCTGGGGGGGACTACTGAACTGTCGGAGTTGGTGCAGGTTATCCTTCGATTGCCGAACGGCGTGGTCGGTGTTGGTAATGTTCGGCACAGAGATATGTTGGGCACAGAGCCGACCATGTCTGTTCGCCTGCAACTTCTCTAGTCTGGATATAGGATCCTCTACAGAGTACATGTCAAACAATTCCTGAGTAGTCACGCGCGATACGTGGGCGGGCTTGTTTAGAACTGAGCGGATTTTATAGGCGTACCAAGCTTTGAGAGCTCGAGCTGATTCCATCGAGAGCCCCACCTCAGCTAACCCAAAGGATAGAGTGAGCCAAACAACAGTTTGCCATACCCGGTGCCTCGACATCGTGCTTGCTACTCTGCGATTGTACACGCATTTCCTTACCTGATGCAATTTTGGTTTAGCCTCGCTATTCCTGAACCAAAGCGTCTGCATTTCGAAGGGCCCGTAGCCAGCCTTAATGCCCAAGAACTTAATCTCCGAGACCCACTGCAAGGCAGGGAAGTACTTGGTCTTACCCATGCGCCACAACTTGACTTTACTGCCGGCTTCGTCCTTTGTCCAGGCCGTGTATTGTCTTACCACTGCCGGGGCCTGCTTACCAGCAAATTTTGCCAGGATGTAGCACTTCCCGCTGTTTCGAAGAGCTTATGCTTCTGTAGGCTGCTAAGCAATGCTCGGATAAGGTCGTGACACGCCTCCAGGTCGGAGACGGATCTGATGGTTTTATGCACAGTGAGGTCGTCCGCATAGCCCGTGAGAAAAGCACAAACCTTATCCTCACCAAAGATAGAGATGAGTTCCGGAAACAGCTTCCCTGTAAGCAAACTGAAAAGGCTCGGGGCCAGCTTGCAGCCCTGTTTGCTACCCGTGGTAGTCTCTACCTTCGTTGAGTCTCCCTGAGCCGTGAGAGCGGTGGTGAAGCGCGTGAACCAGGGAGATCAGCTCCGGGTCGTGGCACATCTCTGCCAGGCTGTCTAGTATGTCCTGACAAGAGACCGTGTCAAAGCTCTTAGACAGGTCCAGGGCGAAGGTGATGCCCCCTACCAGATCAGGACGCAGCGCGCCTTCCCGGAGCTCCTGTCGCCCGGGGGAGGCCTACGAGCCTTGCGTGAGCATCGGATAGGCCTCTACCCTAAAAAAACACGCAAACTGCGGAATTTCCCTCACGTACGCTTGCAAGTCAGGAGTAAGCATCTCCCTGGCAGCACCTGCCACCCCCTTAGCATCCGGACGCAGTATGCCTAGCGGGCGTAAGAGGCCCGCCGGTACGGGTTGGGTATCAACTGTGGCTAGGTAGCTGCTGAGAGACTCGCTAATTTCCTCCGCGCACAGTGTCCAGGCGGCCGCAGGAGCAGAGTCCTTAAGAACGGCCTTGTGAGGCTTAATGGATTTAATGTGCTTAGCTCGAAGCTGAGGCTCTATGGCCGGAATTGGATGCGCGCGCTCAGAGAGGGCCTCATGTACGCCGAAAGTGTTCGAAGCAAACGTACCCAAGGCCTCCAGCTCTTCTCATCAGCTTCCCCTCTTTATCCTTGAGTTGAGCCCGTAGCGGTGGCTGCCAGGGTCGTAATTGTTTGAGGGTGGAGTACGCAATGTGTGAGGCTCCTTCCGCTATTGCCTCATCTACTTTTTCCAGGAACCTTGCCAGACAGGCTCCTTTCGCTGGGCAGGAAGCATCCAGTCCCCTATAGGCTTTACCTCAGCTAATACGGGAAATTGGCCACCAGCCTTCCAGCTGCCTAAGTGCCCATCACGTAGCGGTTTTGCCCACCTGGCATGGCCTCCTGACTGGATTTGCTTAGTCAGAATGAAATCAAGCTGTGAGACGGTCCCTTGGTGCTCGTAGGTCTGAGGCTCAGGGGCATGCCACGTGTTGAGGCCCGGTCACTAGCTTATGAGTCGTTAGCAATTCCTGAAAACCTGCGCTGTCGGGCCGGTTAGAGTCAACACAGATACTCGGCCCGACTAGCCTCGGACAAGGGGATAGGGAGGAGTTGAAGTCCCCGGCTACGACTAGAGACAACCTAGCCGAAACTTGTTTGATGGCCCTACTTAGCGACGCAAGGAGCGAGCTTCGGTCTTTTCTGTTCTGCTGCGGGGTCTTGGCGGACGACCATACATGCTGATACGCAGAGAGAACCACAAAGGGGGAGCCCTCAAAGCTGAACCTGACCTCTACCAGGCGTCCTACCTTGTGCTCTCTCCGGCGGATCTGTCCTGAATCGACTCGGGGCGAGAGGAGGACGAGTATCCCATCAGCCCGCGTGGTCGCCACTTCGCCCGAGCCTGGCTCTTCCGGTTTGGAATGTTGAGGCTTATTCCCTCGACCTCTAGAGCGACCCTTAGCCTCGGCCTTGGGTGGGCTAGGGCTGAGGAGATACAGGTCCAACCTGAGACCGTGTACTGCGCTGTGGACGACCAATGAGTTTCCTGAACCAGAAGCACATCGCACACAGCCTGCGCCTCATCCTGGAGCCAGTCCTTAATCTCCGACCATTGCTGCATCCCCAGGTGACCTGGGTTCCACGAAAGAACCCTCAGCGGCTTGAATTGGCGGCCTCCTCGGTGAGCGTGACTAGCATGTGGCGAGTCGCCGCCTGTGGCGGGCAGTGCCCCTGACGCCTAACTTGCTCGAACTGCAGGGGCCTACCTCCATATAAAACATTGTCCTCATCCCTTAGGGCCTGACGACAAGCTTTCCTATAAGAACGCGTTCTTATCTGAGAATAATTAAAGGAGTGAATCGGCAACAGTGCCATGCACTATTTCGCGATCCAAGCTCAAGGCCTATAGACCACTTCCTTCGTCCCGAAAAAGACGAAAACCCTACTACTTTCCCGGCAACAGTTGCATTAGCATGTGCTTGGGCTCCAGGAATTTGTGTGCAGGTGAGTGCGGTGCGCTACTGCCTACACTTGAAGCTGTTTGAGCCGTAGTGGCTAAGGCAAACAGCAAAGAAAATGGACAATGAAATGGAAACCTAGGTCCCTCTAAGGGCTTTGTAGGGATTAGAGATAGTGCCTCCAATAATGGAGAATGAAATGGAAACCATTATTTAGGTTTGAGGTTCAGGGGCATCTAGGCATGAAAACTGGCCGAGCCGAGAAGCTCTCCCGAACCTTGAACATCAACCCGAGGTAGGATCCTGTGTTGATTCCTTGGATGGAGTTCGGAGCCTTTAAAAAAGTACATAGGGCGGTACTGAAACCAATAAGGAAAGCTTTAAGTATCCCAAAGGCCAACCCAGATTCTATGAGAGCACACGCCAAATTTGCAAACGACAGCGCAGACAGGCAGCAGCCAAAGAGCAGCCACTATTGCGAAGCAGCCCACATTGAGCGCGGCCACTAAATAGGCCGGAGGATACCAATATTCGTTATAACACCATTCGGAAAGAGATGCTTGAAATGTCCAAACAAACTCCGTCGCAGCTTGTTCTTGGCAACCGCGGTCAGGACCAACGTTATACAAAATCAAGCTGTAGTCGACCAGTATGTCTCGGAGGAAAGACTGCACAGAGTACTGGAAGAGAATCATGAATACGTTCTCCACTATGGCTACATGGAGCAGGGTGTTGCGGCTGTTCAGCCAACTGATGCAGCACGCAAAGCATGCTGCCAACAAGCCCACCTGGTGGTCGTCCAATATTGGCAACCATTCTTTTAAAGGGATGCTAGACCGCACTTGCACAGTCTGCCTTTCTGTGGGATGGCCTGCTATTAAACCATGCAGCTAAGCCTAGAATACAGGCTGCAGGAGTTGCACATACATGCAATTCATGCAACCAGCCGCGCACCCTCCCAGCAACTCTCTTCTCGGGCTTCCACACAGAAGGACAGATATTTCGGACAATCCCCACCTCAGTCTCCTGCGCAGCAGATGGGCCCATCCATAGCTGGGATCCGCCATGGTGTACCCCAATCGTCTCTGGGAGCAGGGCCATAGCAGAAGTGTGCGGAGACAGTCACGCATCCGAAACCCATGGCTTCAAGCTTCCTCAAGCTGAGCCTCAAGAACAGCACAAAGGAGGAATGGTTAGCAGTCAAGACACGAAAGATCGAAGCCACTTCTACGTCAATTCTACGTTCACTGCGAGAGTCATGCGTAGCATTCAGACAAGCTGAATCCTACAAGGTCACTGGACTGTGTGTTATCGCACGGCAATCAAAGTGCCCATGGCTTGCCTGTCAGAACTTCAAGCAACTGGGCAAAGCCCATAAAGCCCCACAGCGCCAACCCCAGGAAAAAAGAAGGTGACGCTAACCCTAAACTTTTGACGTATTCTCCTCGGGCAAAATGGGCTCCTCACTGTTGGCTGGGGCTACTCGGAGGTTCAGGATAATTATGACCCAATTCTAAAGGTCATATGACTTTTTCATCCAGGTTATCCGGGGTAACTTAGAGCTGTCTGAGTATCAACCCTGTAAGTCCCCAATATGGCAATAATGGGTTGATAAGTACCAATCACGATGGGGCTATAAGTAGCCTGAACGTCCAGGTGGAGGCGGCCTCATGAACCTAGTAGCCTCAGCTAGGCTTCACTTACTAGCTGTCAGACGGTGAAGGAGCAATGGATCCCTTTAGCAAGCTCAATATACTCCGCAGCATGATTTGCTTCACGTCCCACTAGCCACCTGTGAGGCTCAGAGTTCTAGGATTAGGTCTCCGCAGCCTAGTCTTAAGGGGTAAGCATCAACTGCAGAAACCTGTTTGGGGCCAAAAGGTTTGGGTCGAGAATACACAAACATTCAATGCAACAGCTCCATTGAAGCAAAGATATCAGGACGCTTGATGCGAGATCGTAATCCCTGGCAAAAAACGCTAGGACGCTGAACACGAGAGCACAATTCTGAGCAAACATGTATGGAGCTCTATGCGAGAGTACAACAGTCTGCGGAGGTCCCACGCCAAAGTGATTCGCATGGAAATGCGACGTCGGGAGCTTTTTGTTGCTGTGGAGGCTGGGCTGTTTTTGCTGCTGTCAGAACATGTTTCGTTCTTTGCCGTGTGCGCTGTGAAAGTTTCTTCGTTAATTATGAAAGCTGGGTGCTTGTTGCTGCGGGCATCGGACGTGTTTCTGGTGTGGAAGCCGGGTAAGCGTATGAGGGCGCTCCACTCGCAAGTGCGTCTTGTACCAATAATCCACTCTTCAAGCAAAAACATGAACAACCAAACAAGGCTCCATGCGACAGCTCCATTTTGCACGGAGTAAAAAAAAGCATCTGTGTATGCCGGGACAGAATTTGGCCGCTTTGCTTTGGAAATCGGTGCGTAAACATCGATGAAAATTAGAACGCATAGGTTTTGGGTAGGTCTTTCATGGGATGTCCCAACCCCAAACCCTAAACCTTAAGCCGTTGGTATCGCCCACAAGCCGGTGGATTGGCGGGGAGCGCAATGTCCCCCTGTTTACCAAACAGGGACGAATCACAACATGGAGGCTCTTCATATGTCCGGGGTTTGGCGAAAATTACAACATCAAGTTTCAACAGTTCTGAGTTGCATTTGCTATATGCAAAAATGGGTGTTGGGGGCCAGCCCCCCTAACTTGCAAAACATGGACAAACATGAGATGTACCCATGTCAGTACGTTTTGATGGGATTCTTCGTAGGTTTGCATGGTATTTCCCAAGCACACGAAACACAGTTGAACACGTAGATTCTTCAGGGCTTTTGAGTTTTGATGGGATTGCCCTAGCACTGTGCTCGCCAGTTGCAAAAGTGGTAGGGATGGTGCGGCGCAGGCCCTCCTTCTGGCAAGACTT